GCTCGCCCGAGTCAGGAGGCACCCGTGATAGTACATAGGAGCTTCAGGCACTGAACGGGTAGGCAGTTGGAGAGTAGGACGGTAGTCTTCAGATTCCGGCCGCAGCACTCAGGAGGAGCGCTGCAGTAGTCTTCAGCGCTAGGCAGTAGTAGCAGCGCTAGCTGTAGTCTTCGGCGCTGGGCCCCATAGCCATAGCAGTAGTCTTCAGCGTTGGGCGCTGTAGGTGGTAGGTAGTAGAGTAGGGAGAGACACTGGCGGAGGCCAGTGGTACGTACCTGTGGCGCCATCGCTCCAGCTCCATCTTCGAGGTACCTGCATCAAGGCGCCAACTTCACAGGTTAGTACTGGAGAGAGAGAGAGAGAGAGAGAGAGAGAGAGTTCTTCTTCCTCTTCTTCTCAGTCCACCATCTCTTCTTCCCCTCTCACCACCTGCTTCTCAGTATCAGCGGACTACTACAGAGAGAGAGTTGTGACATGAGACTTGASGACATTGGATCCAGACTCGACATTGGGATTCAGACATTTTGACGAGGGACTATTTGGGCCTGTGCTGAACACTTGGTGTTGACGACACTCCCATCTTCCCTTCTTCTTCGTCTAACCCCACCTCCTTCGTCTGTGTATGGTTGGGGCTGGCGCAGTCTTCTTGTGTGAAGCGCCAGACCCCTTCACACCATGATGATGATGATGTATGTTCGGGGCTGCATTACAATATTGRTTGTTCGGATCATTGGTATCTAAGTCTTCCGCTGTGCTATCTTATACTTTGTATTGAAAGGTCGGTTCTTGTTCTGGTCTGCACCTATACGGTATGCAACAGCCAGACAACATATCTGAAAGGATGAGACGACAACTGAATTTTTTTGTGATCATGTGATGGTGTATCCATGTCCAGGGGGAGCTTGAGGTTGTAAGCGAGGTCGTTGAGAAGGACGCTGGAAACAATAAGGAGGGTGAGAACACAGTCGTTAAGGAGGAGACGAGCAAGATGCCTTTCTTGATGCTTGCTCTGGACTTACCGCCGCCGCCACTTTTCAAGGATGTCATGGAGAAGAATATTATACCTCAGGTTAGTTGGTGGTGGGTAATGTTGGGCAATGGTTTGGCGGGCAGGGTATGGCACACAAAACCTGAACATTAGACCCTTAACCTGGGCTAGCAACCGGCCGCCTAGGTCACCTTGCTGGCCTGGGCGGCCAGACTGGGCAAGGGTCAGGGAAGGTACCTGCAAAAATAGAGAAAAAAGAAAAAAAGATGTTTAAAAAATCTGAAAGAAAACCTATGCTATGCAGAAAAATGAACTGAACAATTTTTTTTTTTTTTTTTTTTTTTTTTGTTGGGTGCTTTCGCAGCCCCCCCCACGACCCCCTTTGTTTTCTTTCTTTTTTTAAACAAAATCAAAGCATTAATTGGGGGCCCAGTGCCCAAGGCAAAAGGCTTTAACAGTGGTTGCAAGGCCTCCACTTTGCACTCCAGGTCGAGCCCCCCCCTGTGAAGCAAAAGACAACTGTTAGAAAAAAGACAATGCTAAGGAATGTAACCGCTGATGAAAAAGAACCAAAGGGGACCAATGAAAACACCATAAAAGAGACAAAAACAAAGGTGAAGTGAAAAATGTAAAAGTGCAGTGAGTAGTCGACATCAATCACTCCGAAAAAAATAGCACAGAATGCTATCCTTAAGTCCTTGAATCCTGATACCACGATCCAAAGTGGTTGATGGAACGTTAAGTTAAAATTGCTGAACCGAATGAATCTTCAGCTAGAACATGGAAATATACACTACTAGCACATACTGTTGTTGTTCTTAGTACTAACAACAACAACAGTAGGTAACACGAGGTCTAAATTTTTGACATAACAAAGGAAAAGAGCACTGTCACAAAGAGCTTGACAAGTCCAAAACATGACTATCGCAAGTGCGCAAAGTGGCTGGAAAGGAAAGCTGATCTATACAAGGATCAACTCGAGCCAGAAGGGGACATGCAGCGCAATGTGGCTCGAATCAGCGGATACCAGCCACAAAAGATGCTGTGTTGCAGCACTTTGTTTTCTGCCAATCTGAAAAGATGATGTGCTTCAATGACTGTTTAATTCGTGGCAGCACCTGCTGGGTGGAGGGCCGCTCCACATTTCTCACCACTGCATTTCTCTGTCTCCATAGCACCCACAAAAGCTGCTGCTTGTAGGGAACTGAACAAATTTTTGCCTCAGGGTCACACAAAACCCTAACGTCGTAACCCTTAACCATAAACTGCAGCACTATACCTCAGGTTAGTGTGCGGCAACATGTGTGCTGTATGTACCTTGAACTCGAAGCTGCAACATAGCATCTAATGGTAGTGTGGTGTCGTGCATGCACGTCATGTACTGCAGAGAAAAGCTTTAAACCCTAAACCCTAAACCCTAGACCCTTACTTTATACGTGTGGTGATGCGTGTTGCTTATGTGCCCTAATTTTGTTTTGCTTAGCTCCATCTTTTCTGTGTGCTGATGCTTGTCATCGGGCCACACTGGACTCTCTGTGATTTTGGTCTGTGTATGCCTGTGCGAGAGACGCACTTAAGCTCGGTGGAACTGGTGGTGGCTTAATAGGGATCTGGAACAGGGGCGTTACTGCGTCTTTCGACCGGCGGCGAGGGGGGGGTATTAGGGCTTACGAGGGAATAGGGTTTAGGGTCTGTGAGTGAGAATCCAAATCTCCTCTCTGCTTTGTGGAGAGCGATCATCTCAGCCTTTGCCTGTGAGGGGCCTGTGGCTTTTGACAACGCCACCTCGCAAAGGTTGAAGCCAGACCCGAGTAGGTAAGGCAAGTACATGCTGGCAGACGTTGCTTGCCCATGTGGCGCTCGTAGCACGCACCAAGTGGCTCTGTTCCGATGAACAACTTTCTTCGCTCGGGGCTTTTTGGTGTGGAATTAACTTGTGTGGGCTCTGTATGTGTCTGTTTTTGTGGTTCAAATCCATCTAGGTTCCTTTGTTCACCATCTTGAAGAAATTTGATGGAGAAACAGTGCATGAGACAGTGAAGACTGGACGAAAGCGTTATAAGATCTCTCGTCTTCCTCAGTACCTGGTGCTGCATATGAAGCGTTTTACAAAGAACAACTTCTTCATTGAGAAGAACCCAACATTAGGTACCCTCACTTTCCCTCGATCTTTCTCTGCCTCCCTCCGTCTATGGGACTCCCTCTGCCTTCTCCCCAATCCTCTTTGTGCCATTCCCCTCCCTC